AGTAGAAGCAATTCCCTTGTCAGCGACCGACATAACAGTGTCAATTGTGCGATGCATTATTTCTTCTATGTTAGCAGAAACGATTCATTGCATTGTGGGCTACGTTTATGGACTGTTGTAGACATAGTAAACTGACTCAGTGAAATACCATAGGTAATGAACACATACGCACAGACGCACACATACGCACAGACGCACAGACGCACAGACAGACAGACACACAGACAGACAGACAGACGCACAGACGCACAGACGCACAGACGCACAGACAGACAGACACACAGACAGACAGACAGACACAGACGCACAGACAGACAGACAGACAGACACACAGACAGACAGACACAGACAGACAGACAGACAGACAGACAGACAGACAGACAGACAGACAGACAGACAGACAGACAGACACACACACACACACACATACATACATACACGCACACACACACACACACACACTCATATACATACATACTAGATTTAATTACCTAACTGCGCCAGGAATCGTTGAATATTAACTGGTCTAAGAGGCTGCAGTCAACACTGCCTTGGGGTTATAACTAGTGCTGTAACGAATAGTGATTTTCAATATTTGGCCGAATACGAATAACTAGACAAACTATTCGGCCGAATACGAAAACGAATGGTGTGTAGTGTGCAAAATATATGTTTAAAAAAAACATTTATAATGTCAAATGTACGCTGAACTTTTAGTTCACATAAAGTAGCACAGAATAGTCATCTTCTCCTTTAGCCCTTGAGGTTTACTGCTGCAGATATCACTCGTCTCCATTCATATCTCTGGCTGGCCTTATCTTCACAGTTTGTGACACCAGTTGTTTGCTGGTCTGACTGGACATTATCTCTCGAACTTCTTTTCTGTCTGCCTCGTGGTCTACGTTCATTCCTCTCTCAGGTGTATACAGATTTGCTTCTCTGTCATCTGACATTCTTCCAAATTGCCCAACCATTTTAGTCTGTTAGGTCTTTTGATGCCAGTGATCAGTGGTGATTTGAACAGATTATGTGTAACGTTGTTGCTTCTCACTCTCCATTCCCCGCTGTTAGCAACTCTGATGGGTCCAAAGATTTGTCGTAAGACTGTTTTCGAAAACCTGTAATAAGGCCTTATCTCTTTTATTTCGGCTTCAAGTTTCACAGCCATATAAAACGACTGGTCTTATCAACGTTTTATATATTTTGATCTTGGTGTTCCGAGACAGACACTTTGATTTTAGCAGATGTTTAAGGGCATAGTATATTTTATTTCTAGATTGTATTCTAGATTGTATTCCTTCTCTCAGCATGTTGGAGCAGTTGAAGTTTGCACCCAAGTACTTATATGTTTCCGTTTGTTTGATTTTTATATTATCGACTTGGATGTGGCCGGAGTTTATATTATTTCCATGTCTAGTTAATATTAGTACAAAATAGTAAACATTTACAAACATTTTATGTTTTGCATCCTTCAGTCTGTGGTAACTAATAACTAGAAATGAAAGAATCCTAAGTATTATATCAAGTAACTAAACTTGTAAATTGTCAATGACAGCTTAGTTAATGCATGAAAGCGGCAATAGCTTTCAACAAAACCAATCGTTCCATGTTGTCAGTGTTTTAAGGCTGTGTAAGCAGAAGCGAATGTAAGGTAACTACTATTCGTATTCGGTCCGACCGCAACTATTCGGCCGAATACCGAATAGTCAATAGGTCCACTATTCGGCCCCGAAGTGAATACGAAGCAAATATTCGGTACAGCCCTAGTTATAACTCATGGTTAAATTTGAGACTGTTGCCGCCAAATATGACCGATTAGGCTACCTCCTCCTCTACGGTTTTATTTGTATATTTGGACCATTCGTTGTCGAAAGTGTCAAGAACAGTGAAATTTAAACTCGACCGCTCCCTGGTCAGTTCCAGAGCCTCACAAATTTGACCGACAAAGCTCTCCTCTCCAGCACTCCCAAAGGAACAGTAGCGACATGAAAACCACTGCATTGTAATCATCTGATAACAATCTGAGTAATAATTTAGATGCAGTTGCCAGCTTCACCCGGAATACTGAAGAAAAATTGTATTGCTTGTGTTATTTATTTCATGTTGTCTCCATGGCAGCCGTATGTTTAGTCACCGCCCCCTGGGTTTTTCCACCTCCCTACAAGTTTGACCAACGCGGCTACCGCCCCCTCAACTGCCAGTGCACCCCCAAAGTGACAGTAGAGCCTACTAAAAGAGAAACTGGTCAAGGAAGTTTCTAACTCCCCCTCCACGCACCCCCCCCCATCCCCCTTTTCGCCCTCTAAACCAAGACTCAGGGTCTCAGTTCAGACTATTGGCACTACCCTAACACTTTTTTCCAACCCATATAAAGCTACATGCCCCTCTACCGTCACATCACCCTGTATTGGATTGTAGCCCATACAGTGAAAAACACTAGTCTAAACAATAGGCCAGTTCTCCTCCCACTTTAGGCATAGTGCTGAGGATTGAGACAGCGATACTGGTACGTCCACCAGCCCACAAAATGTGTTCGACGTAGGTTTAGCTCCTCACCTACCTGCTATGAAAGAAATAGTGTAGACCACTCAAACACCCCCCCCCCCTCTCCCGCCCCCTCAATATCTGTGGCCGTGACTCCGAGTTACACTTCCCAGGCTAAACGTATACAGCTACCACACACCCCCTCCCCCACACACACACACACATTACTGTTGGCAACCCTACTTCCCCCAATGATGCGTATGAAGCTACAGCCCTCCTAGACTGGAAGTTTGAAAGGAGATAAAATCGATATATATTTTTTTTTGAAACATATGCTTTTAATGGAGGTAGAAGAAGGATTATGCAAAGGAGATATAACTTCCACCAATGTTAACTTTTAGTGATTATGACAGTAATTATTAGAAATTCGCATACACCTTGCCGTCACCACTATCAAGGTTAAACTCGCCATTCCAGCCAGAATGGCATCGGCGAATTCAACCCGTCTACTGGTCATCGTTTGTGAGGAGTTGTGAGTTGACTGAAATTGTACAGAGAGACAAACACATAAATTGTGTGTTTTATAGTATATCAATTATAAACATTATCTAGTTATATATATATATATATATATATATATATATATATATATATATATATATATATATATATATATATATACATACATACATACACACACACACATATATGCCAGACTGTATAATTAGTTCAATACATAATAGATGCCTTCAAAAGAAGCATTGTGTCACTAACAATTAAATTTTAGCAAGACATGTTTGTCACCAATGTAAGCGGTATAAACAGACAACCAAAAATCTAGACGCTACTCCACAGAGGCTCCTTTCCTGCTGTAGTCAGGTTCGAAATTCTCATTAACTGAACATGCAAATATGAGGCCGGCCACGTAATTCCCAGATTCGACCAAACAACAATTTTAGCCCGTCGCAGTGTACTTGCTCCAGTGTTCTAGAGTGCGACGCTAAATAAGAATTATTACGATGAACGGACGTGTAACCAAATTTCAGTCGGACCGTCTGGTTCTGGGCAGACGGGTGTGACTTCTGTAACAATACAGTAATTTAGAGGCGGAAATGAGGAAAATTCAAAGTAAAGAATGTGAAACAATGCGGAAGTCACAAAAACGACACACTAATCCTAAATTTGAGTGACATAAAAGCAATATTCCTATACCAGGTTAGTTGCGTATCCTTTACAGGACGTTGCAAAACCAACCCCAACAGCCCCTGGCTGTTGTGTGGTTTTTCTAGGTAAATTTACGTCCAGTAGTTTGCTATTGCTTTCTGGACGGTTGGCTTTCTTGATACCACTGTCGAAACCAACGCAACGCGCATGACCCGCAGCTGGGATCGAACATGGCATATCGGCATTACGAAGCGTTAGCATCGACTTAGTCACAGAGCCGACATTCCTATATCAAGAAGTACTAAATACAACGCAGATTATACAAAAAAAAAAAAAAAAAAACTCACCGGAGAGAATGAGAAGGACGTTCAACTCCACTAGGACCGCATAAAGAGCGATAAACACCCGGTGACACAAATTGCCACCAAGCGGATGAGGATCACCCGGGTGCAAGTCTCAGAAACCCCGCTCAACCGTTGTGTTATATTAGAGGCCCCGACTACAGCTGGTTAGGGGCTATAAAGTGACAGCAAATTGCAGCTAAGAGAATAATAACAAAAAATGCATACAAATACAATGGAAAGTTTTCTCTTTCTCTGTTCCCAACTGCCAGGGGATTTTTACGTGTGCAACAATGCACACGGGCGTCCAATCTCACTACCCAAAGACAAGGGGGAAATTACTAGAAGTCCAAGTCTACGTGAAAAAAGTCCAGCCCTCACCGGGGATTGAACCCGGAACCTCTAGCACTCGAAAAGTACACTATGCTTCGAGACCACGCAACACTATCCCCCAAATACCTCCCCCCCCCCCCCCCCTTTTTTTTTTACCCCAGTCAAAAAAATGAGATTATTTCAGCCTCCAGAACCGTTCCTAGTTGGGCATTTTGTTTCATTTAGTAGAGAGCTCCAGTAATTCAGAGGAAGAAGTGCTTAGACATGTCTTGATTTATTTTAAATGTATTTATTCGAAGATTAACGCAGGGGGTAATTTTCATGCATTAAAATTATACATTGTTTGTAATAACTAAAAATGTACAAACAAACAAACAAACCCTGTCACACTACTGGCACATCGGCAACAGTATTAAAGGGTAGCTGGTATTAGAAAGGTTGAGAGCCACTGGTCTAGCCCTATATGTACAATAAACATGACGACTAGAAATATGTGCTTTACTTTACTTACCTTGGAGATACGATTCGTTTAAGCGGGGGTAGATTGGGGGGGGGGGGGGGGTATGTTTGGCACCAACAAAAGACTTTCTAGTTGGCAAACTCGCGATGGCCACTACTTTACAGCGACTTCCTGTATTCATAATATGGTGTTTTTATTATTATAATCTC